GCGTGACCGCTAAGAAACCCTTAGATATTCAAATCCTTCCTTAGAGAAATCACTTCAATCTACAACTTCAAAGTGGAAAGTAGAAATAACTACCTCTTCCGATCTTATTCAAAACACTAAGTTAAACTTCTAGTTCAAGTCAAGTCCCGGTGAATATTCTAACTCCGAAATCCTATTTCCTAATTCAAGGTGTTCGGGACTCAAATCACAGTGTTATTAAAATAATCGAAGTCAACTGAAATAACCAAAATTGAAGAAATAAAAAAACATTTAAAATATCAAGTGAAACTTAAATCATAAGATTCAAAGACTACAATAGTGAACAGTGTAATAAACCCAAGTGTTATTTGTTATTGAATAAATATTGTTAAATTAAACAATTGTGTCCTAATCGTGTTTGATTGGTCAGCTACGCGCAGTAGTCGATTGGAAAGAACCTACCTAAAGGAATAGCTTCCCTCAACACCTGGAGTTATCGACCAGAAGGGTTAAATCTTTTCTTCTAAATCCAGATCAATTCTTAACTCAGTGAAAATAAAAGAGTAATCCATTTGGGACGTAACACATTCATTCCTAGAATAATTGGATGATTAATTGCAATATTTTTCATTATTTCCAATAGTTTGCTCATTTAAAGGATCAATAACTGCCAAACTACTGGGAAATGTTGTCCGCAATTGAAGTCAAAATATATTTCGTCTTATCGATGATTTTTGGCGAAAAATATATTTCTTGGTTTAAATTGGGTTTTTAACATGAGTACAATTAAAAAAACAACTCGTTTTTTGGCATAAAATCTCTTAAATTAAAACGATTGCAGTGAACAAAGTTTCATTTTTAATATTTTTTCCAGTACTTGAATTGTGTTGAAGAGAATCTTGATATCTTTGATAGAGGCTAGAATTGATAATGGAAGATATTTATTCAGCGGAAGAACACTGGAGATATTGGAAAAATCATAGTTTCGGCAATTGTCAGCAATTGCCCCACTCTGCATGCATCGTCTTTCCCCACTATTCCCGACGATTTATCTCCTCTGATACTACCTGAATGAACAGAATGGAGATTCTTTCATCTGCGTTTCATGTGAAATCGACATGTCCCAAGCCTTTGGATAAAGGAGAGTGCGCTATACTCTAGAAAAAACGAAAGTTCAGGGGGGGGGAGGTAGTTATGTACTTTCTTCACTGAATTTTAATTTCCTGTGTAGACGATACCTGATCCCACCTCACTGGAAGATCATGATAGAGGCCGAAAACAAAAAAAAACAAAAAGGTAATTATGAGTAGTAAGTTCTGTAAGCGCAATTACTGCAGCACAACTCATACGCAACACTTGCAATCATCAACAATGATGAAAAAAGTGTTGAATTACTATCGTGGTCCGTCCGTTGAGGCATCACCTTTATCATTAAATATAATGGAATGTTATTGTTCAAAATTCTAGAAGTCGAAGCGTTACACCCGTGAGAAAGTATCTACGAGCCAAGATGAAACATTACACAAATTGAACACTCTACACCAACAAATTAATCACTTGAAGGATGAATCTTATAACTCATTCCGGAAAGAATTGAAGGTATTAAAAAAACAGATCGACAAAATGAAGGATTCGTTTGAGGAGTTTAAAACATTTGTGTCCACCCAACTCAATACTTTGATAGACTCCTGGAAGTCACTGAAAGGTAAGAGTTTGTATAACCAATTGTCTTTCATAAAAAATGAAAACGTTGCCTTGCATTTTGAACCACTGTAATTGGGGGATAAATCACTATATGGAGTTAAGACTCATAAGGAAAGACATTATATATACAAATATTTTTTCATTATACATGGACTGTTTTACCCTCGGTTTTACCAAATATCGTGCACAAATCGAGCCTCAAAATTTTCGACAAACTTTGTTTTGTTTTATGCGAATACTTATACTTATGCATACAAATCAAGATTCTCGACTCACAGAGAGATCTCGTGGTTCAAGTAAATGCCTTCCACCTGATTGAACGATTTCGGTTCAGAAATTTTCGATTTAATTTGAAATCTTAAAAAATACCTTGAAACAAATTGAAAATATAGCTTTGGATTCGAACTTTTTTTCGAAATGATCATTTCTTTCCCTCACCTTAAATCAATTCCATGGCGAAAATCACTTGTTTACCCTCATAAATTTATCCATCAAAATCATATTTCAAAATTGTCTACTCATCTGCTGTAGATTCTAAACGAAAATCAGAAACTGAAGAAAAATAATTCATAAAATGATTCTCCATAGTCCGATCATTTATTTACAATTTTTATTCACCGCATACATATCTTCATCTACTTAGCTTATTTCGATAATTGCTGTTCATGTCATAATACATAAGAGAATTCGATTTTTGACTTGATTTTGCATTTTCCATTCTGCTATCCCCCATACGAGCAAACATTTTAGAAACAATATTTTGACCGAACATTTTCTGAATTCTTTAAGAAAAATATTATGACATTTTTCGTAGCGTGTTGATTTAGTCATTAAGCACATCGTGTTTCTTGACAGCAACTTGAACCTCAGTAATTTTTGATATGTTTCTTGAATTGAAAAATGACAATTATGTTGACAATTGTTTTATCGACTGAACAAGAACCCAAGAACAAGTAGAAAATTGCTGCAGTTCAAGTTGCTGTCAAGAAACATGATGGCTGACTGACTCCTTCAACATGCCATTAAATTAAAAGAAAAGAATAACGAATAGGCCAAAATCAATATTTGAAGTTTTATGTTTCGATTCTCAATAGGAGATTAAAGTGATAAAAAGAAGGGACAATCATCTGTAAAGAAATGGAGAACATGTCCAATGGGTGGAGCATATAGATTACATATACTTCGATGACATTGATCCTTTTCTTCACAGTTTGAGCTCAAAGTATATGCGATGGTATAGGAAATTACGTCAGTATAAGAGATTAAAAAATGAATGAGAGGTGCACGGAAGAATTGAAGATTATTTTAGTACTGTGGAACAAACAGAAAATATAGGAAACAAACTATAGAAAATCATAAAAAATGAATTTCACATCACAAATATTCGGTCAAAGTTGATCAAATTTTAAAGTTTTTTTTGGTATAGTTCTCCATTACTATGTTCACATAGTAATTTTTAATTTCAAATCCTCTTCGTGTGAGAAAAACGTTAATATGTCAAAATCTAGATACGACAAAATAGACAATTTCCATGTAGAATTTCAAATCCTCTTCGTGTGAGAAAAACGTTAATATATCAAAATCTAAATACAACAAAATAGACAATTTCCATGTAGACATGCACATATCAAATTGATCCAAAGCATATATCAAACTATGAAAAATATATTTCACAAGTCCTCTCATTTACGCATGTCGTTTTGTCTTCATTATTACAGTAGTATTTTTTCCACCATACTGGTCGCAATTCTAGAATCCTAATCCTTAATTTCATACTTCTCAACGTTATATAAGAGAAATAAAGATAACACAAGTCTCATTTTACATGGATATTTTCCCCCAATTTAGACGAACCCGTTAGGAATTTAGAGATCTTCTTGGAAGACGGTGAGAGACCACCTCCTCCGGGCTACTGGATGAAGAACTCTGCAGGGGTAAGTCTGCATAAGAGAAAAAAATATCTCAGGAAAAATGATGAACCAGAGCATCTCTGGTAGAATGATAATGATTTAATTGTATCAGATCGATTAATTTCTTGGATTATGATAATGTATATCAACTTCCTCGCCTTCAATGAGAAAATAAAAAATTCATTTGTTCAATCTCGTGGACGGTTCTCCTGATAAATTCCGGATATTCGGAACTACATTGGAATGCTAATGTCTCAAAGCTTTCCTTTCCTGCATTGCATAATTTTTTTTTCTTCAATCCCTCAAAATTTTTCTTTAAATTAAATTCAACACCATTCCTTATAACAGATGGAGATGATGCACCTGGGCCAAAATATTTAGCGCCCAAAAGTTGAGTATGATACTGCTGCCAGAGCACCAACCCCCGCAGCATTCTTGGGCTGTATAGCAGCATCTATTTGTGGGGATGAACTTAAAAATCTGACTGTTACTGGCTCAAGAGCTCCTCATACAGCGGAAATCAAAGATCCTATTCCGCCAGGGAAAATGATGGCTCCTAGAGGTACTGATCTTTTTCTATCCATATCCCTTGAATTACTCTCCATAATTTCAGTTATTCTACCTTCAACCATTCTTAGGTAACATATAGACATAACTTTGAATATTTGTTTATAGCTTCTAGATCGAAGATCAAAGTTCATTTTGCAGTTCCTTATATTCATTATTTGAAATTTATGGTCACAGAGTATATTTTTTTTACATAGAATTCATGTACTGAAACCTAATAATCTAACACTCGATGAGCAGCTCTCCAATGTCGGCTTTCAATCTCACTCTAAAACTCTATAAAAGTAAGTTGGACAATTAGATCATAAGGTTTTCATTTCTCCAAAATCCCTGATTTCCTTGAATTGAATAATATCGCTTTGACATGAAACATTGATGGATACTATTCCAATGATTTCTATTGAAATTAAAACTTTTACAAAACCCCCTTTAGCCCTGAAGATGTCACTCCTTCCATGGAGGCTTACCCATGAGAAATTATCCAATTTCTAGATATCTTCAAATATTATCTCATAAATTATAAAGGATGGACCGACAACGAGGAGATTTTGCAGCAATTGGATTTGATTGATGCTCATCTTCGTATCAAAATTGGAGATCTGAACAAATCCTCAGAAGCTAAGGCAAAGAGTAAGTATTTGAACCAGTTTCAGGCGTTGTGAAATACATCTTCTATACACTTCTCTGTAAAATCTATAAAGAACCGTCTCTAGTGAGTAGACATGCACACCTTTATTTCTGGACCATTGAAAGACTTTGAGATTAATCTGTAAAAAAATTGCGTCAACACTCAATTTTCCATCTCTAATGATTAATTACTCTTACGTAGAGTTTCCTTCGGTATTCGACATAAGTAAATTTTATTCGATATTGGACAAAGTCTTATTAATTATTTTCCATTTCCATTGATCAGACTACAGTAACAAAGCCAGCAATGATTTTTCCGAGGATTTTTCCCCTTCATTTTTTTGCTGCAATCAAGATTCTCCTACACCTCCCAAAACATGAAACCTAAAACTTTACCCTTTTGTTGCAGAGACTGTAACAAGCCCTCATGATGCCACAGTAAAATCTTAAAAAAGAAAATCGAAACCCTCCACAAAATCACAAAAAACAGCAAAGAAAAACTGTCAACGTTCTCAGAAGAAGTCCCCAAAAAAACCCGCTCCTCAAGCTTCCACCTCATCTTCATTTTCATATAGATTGATATCAAGTTCATCTTCAGACGAGGAGATGGAAGCCCCCAAGACGCATAATAAAAAATCCATTCCACCACCATCCAGGCCACTATTATCGTCTCGATCGGGTAAATCTTGTCGTGTGGAGTCTTCAGATGCATCAAATGAGAGCGATCCCCCAAGAACATCACCACACAAAATAAAATCCAAACCTGGCCTGAAATCTCAGAAGACGGCGAAGAAGGACTCTCAAATAAACCCGCAGGATTTTCAAAAGAGGACCCCACCGGAATCCGCCCCTTCGTCTTCCTCCTCAGCTCGTTCATCAACTGGATCCGAGTCAAATTCATCTTCAGATAATAAGGAAAGACCCCCGAAAAAACTTGCTAAAATATCAACTCCATCTCCATCCAGACCACTATCATCAACACAATTAACATCAACTTCGCCATCCATCGAAAAAAATAACTCAGATACATCTTAAGGACTTTTTTCAATATTTCATCTTCGATGATAGGGAATCACTGTGCGATATATGATGGTGAATTAAAATCCTTTCTCCTCCATGCGGTGGATAAGGACGAGCCACAGACATTGATTTCTAGGATCACCTTCATTTTTTTTTATACATCAATCTGGAGGAAAGTGCTCGTATAGGCGCATAAACAGTTTAAAATAAAATGCCCCTAAATCTCAAGCATTAGGATACGAGAATGTTTTCATTACATCTCCATTTCAATTCCCTAATATTCTTTACCATGAGAGTTGAATTTGGGGTGAGAATTTCCGTGGTTCCCGGTAGCTTAGTCTGTAAGAGTGCCCGGCGCGTAACTGGGAAACCCGGGTTCGAATCCCGGCTGGGGGAATCGGAATTTTTTTTCTCTAAATTTCAATTCTATTTGAATTATTTAAGCCTAAAGGTGGTTAGGCGGCGTGCTGAGTTGAATTTGGAGTGAGAATTTCCGTGGTTCCCGGTAGCTTAGTCGGTAAGAGTGCCCGGCGCGTAACTGGGAGACCCGGGTTCGAATCCCGGCTGGGCGAATCGGAATTTTTTCTCTCTAAATTTCAATTCTATTTGAATTTTTTTTTTTACACTAAATCCTATTCATCGGCAACATTTCTCTTATCGCAATAAGATACAAGGGTTTCCCCGTTAAATCTTCATTTTAATTCCTCGCTCCCCTCTTCCCAAAATAGATTCCACAGCAACTCACGACACCTGTGGAATTATTCCAGTGGCATAACCCTCATCTCTCTACTAAATAATCTATTTACTAATTTCTGTTATAGGAAAAATTGGATCATCAATAGATCCGGTCCCCATTAAAT